GGGGGGGGGGAGGGGTATTTACAGTTTTTCAAAAGGATAAATTAGTAATTACAAAAGTGTTAAATTTAAAAGAAATTGGCCCAAAAAAGGGCTAAATGTGCAAAACAGCCGTTGGGCAACGAGCTTGGCCCAGCAGACCGTTGCCAACGGTCAAATAGTCAGAAACATAAAAAAAAAATTTGAAAGTAGCCGTCATACCGATCTGGGCCGGTCCGGTCCGGGCCAGGCCGGTTCCGGTTTCAACCGGTCTGGGCCGATCCGAAAACGGGTTGACCCGGATCGTTAGACACCCTTAATTCAACCGAGCATGACACATTATCTCTCCCAAACAGGGTAAACAAATATTCATGAGTTTCCCTTAAGCTTACTAGTGATCACATTCAACTTATGTTCCATATTCTATGTTGTTAATCCTTTTAGAAGAAACAAAATTCATCTTCTTCTTTATGTGGTAATACAGTTCTAAGTGAATGGTATAACAGCTCAAACATAAGTCTCTTTAGATAAAGAGGCAAACATGTGGTTCATAAGTTAGAACAAGAAAATGCTTTTAACATGTACATAATAACATTCTCTAAAAGCTATAGGGTTGCAATATGAGCAGGTGATCTATGACTAGGCTAATGTGTTTATTACAAGGGAGTTAGATCATAAGAACATCGATGATTTCAGTTCAGGCAAACTAGTTAGTGTGATAACACAGAAAATATTATGAAGTTCAGTTTTAGATATGTTAAAGCATAGCTAATCCAAGAGGTGATATAGCACAAGTACAACCCTTGAAGACAGTTAAGGATATAGTTTTGAATTAGGTTAGTAAACATGGAAGTAGCTATCAGAACACATGTGGAATTAACCACAGAAACTCCTTAATACTTAGGTCAAACACTTTAAGGAAACAATTATCCTGTGAAACTCAATTGTATAACTAAGCAATCACATAAACATGAGGATTAATAGAAGACTTTATAATGTATTAAGGAGTTATAGGATTGCAAGACATACTAACAACTAAAATGATAGCAAATCATTAAGTATAAATAATTTAATTTTAAAAAGGAGGGTCAAAATTGATCATCAACAGCTGCCCCTCTTTGACTGGAGATGATGAAAGAGTTTTCATGAAAAGAAAAAAACGAGGACCAATTTTGTCCCGACTTTTAGGAATTCATTGCAAGAATAGCATGTGGATTTGAGGAAGATTATGAGTTATAGGACTAAGGAAAAATTCAGGGAATTTTGTTTGGGAACATTAGGGCCGAATTCTGGCTTAGAATTACCTAGAGACCTTGGGCTTAACAGGGATCATGCTTCATGTAGTTCTGGAATGATGATTTGGAAAAGGCGGTGCTTGTAGGAGTTGACGATACTGCAAGACGAGAAGATTTTAGCACCCAAAAGGACTTTCGGATTGATTATGAGACTTGAGAAATTTGATGATTTTGGAGTTCTACTGGTCGCATTTGAGTTTGAGTTTGTATCCTTAGCTCGCTTATGAGTTTGTTGTTCCTCATAACGTTGTAGCTTGGTTTTCTTCTTAGAAGAAATTCCACGTCCCGATGTTTAATCCTGCAAAAGCAAAGTACACACATACCCATATATCATAATGCAGATATGTTAAGAAATGTTTTAAATAATGCACGAATGATGATGTCTGGTTGCCGGCTAGCCATTATTTAGGATCGGGGTGACAGGATATTTGAATCTGAAATCTCCGAGCTCTGGAGCATTATTTGCGATTCCGGGGATGGGCCTTTGGATTTGACTTGATTGTTAGCCGGGCTGTGTACCATTCCACAGCTTTTGGAGCATTAAGTCTCCACGCGATGGGAGTATCTCCTCGTGACGGGAGTAGTTGACTTGAAATGTAAATTCTCCTGCTGGGAGTAGTTGACTTGAAATGTAAATATCTGTACAAGATGGGAGTATTTGACTTGAAAATGTAAAATGCATGTAAGCTGCATAAATAAAACGTCAAAACATTCAAGATAAACGAAGAAATAAAGGATCATGCCCAATAGGTACTCTTGACTGCAAAACTAAACTGCGACCGTCGATCGGCAGAAGGCATGGCGGGATAGGACGTTCCATCCTTCGATTGGCGAAGTTAGCGACGAAATTTGCAACTATCTACTTGGAATATCCGATATGGTGAAGTGACGGTGGTCTGTGCGAGGTGCTCCTGTTGGCGAAGCGAATAATTTTCTATATATAGGGCTCTGATTGGCGAAGCTGGAGGATCGATTTGTACAAGGTTCTCTGATTGATTGAGCAAATTTGCAATATACATGGCTCCGATTAGCCGGGTCGGTAGCTCATTATGTACAAGGCGCTCTGATTGGTTGACCAGATGGTTTGCTATGTACATGGCTTCGATTGCATCGGAGACCTGGCTTCAAAATACTTTCAAAGAACTCGAAGTTAGTCTTCAATCGTATGAGAAAATAAACTGAATTAATGAAAAAAAGATAAAGGTTCATGAGAGAGTAGCGGGTACATCATTGTTACGAGTGTGCCCCAGCATTCTTCCTCTTCTGTCTGTCCTGCACTCAAAGAAAAATCCTTAGTAGAGGGGGGGGGGGGTAGGGGGTGTCGGTTTGTGTTGATTGCAAGCCTGGCCTTGCCCCGGATCTGGTGAATTTTTCCACGAAGTTCGGTAGGTGGAAGGATAGTTTTTTCTTGAAAATATTTCCAAAATTATTTATTTTTATTGCAAGTGCCGTCGTTCCAGATTATGACATGTTTAGAAGTTCCCACTGACGTGAACGTTGTTTTTATATGGCTCTATCCTGTTGATGTCGATTCCCGGAGATGCCCTTGATGATGTAACTCCTTGATGTCATGATTGTGTCCTAATCTAAACAAATGCATTACAAAGGCTTTCCTAGATTTATGACCGAACCTTTTTTAGGTTGCTTACGTATCTGAACGGAATCAGGTTTGAACGTAGTTCGAGGGTAATAGAATGATAAATGAATTATGGTGATGATCGAGCTTGACTTAGGCAGTCTACGTATCGAAATAGAATCAGGTCATAACGTAGTTTGATTACAATAGATGCAAAATGATAAGAAATAGAAATGAAGTGGTCGAGTCTGACTTAGACTGCCCACGTATCCAAATGGAATCAGGCCAGAACGTAGTTCAATTACAATAGATGACTAAATTCGACGTGGATTGCCTACATATTCCTGCCAAAGGAAATCAAGTCATGGCGTAGTTCTAAGTACATACAATATACTTTTTGGTTTTTCTATTACACAAGAAGAAAGGAGATAAGGAGTGATACCGAACCCTACGTGGGAATGTATCCAACCATAGGAAGTTAGGTCGGGCGTAGTTCTGTTACAACCAAACCCTAATTCTATTGTCTTCAAATGTATTATCTCTTGATTGCAGCTAATTTGATAGGCTTTGCGTTGAATCTGCCGTCAATTTCTGATAGGATAATGCTCCTCCCAAGAACACTCGATGGATCACATAAGGACCCTGCCAATGCAACGCGAACTTTCCCTTGGGTTCTTCTTGATAAGGTAATATCTTCTTCAAAACCAACTGCCTCGATGTGAATTGACGAGGTTTTCACCTTTTTGTGGAACGCGTTGGCCATCCTACCATCGACCATGGCATACTGCGCCCATTCTCTTTTCATCGATGAGCATAAGTTACTCCTGCCTGACTCGTATCCATTCTGGGTCATCCAACTTGGCTTCTTGAAAGACACTTAAAGAAGGTATCTCTATCTCTGCGGGTATCACAGCTTCGGTACCATATACGAACATGTATGGTGTTTCTCCGGTGGATGTTCTCATGGTGGTCCGATAAACCAATAAAGCGAAGGATAATTTCTCGTGCCACTTCCTTTGATATTCCACTATCTTTTGCAAGATCCTCTTCATGTTTTTGTCGGCTGGTTCAACTGCTCCATTCATTTGCAGCCGGTAAGCTGTGGAATTACACTGGATGATTCCGAACCTCTTACAAATCTCCCTCGTGAGATCTCTATTGAGGTTGGTTGCATTGTCAGTGATGATTGATTCTGGCGTCCCGAATCGGCAGACTATGTTGTTACGGACGAAATCTGCTGCCACCTTCTTTGTAATGGATTTGTATGTAGAAGCTTCGACCCATTTGGTGAAGTAGTCAATGGCTACAAGGATGAAACAATGTTCGTTTGATGCGGCGGGTTCTGTAGGTCCAATCACGTCCATGCCCCAAGCGGCAAACAACCAAGGAGAACCCATTACATTCAGCTCATTAGGTGGAACCAGGATGAAATCCCCGTGAATCTGGCATTGGTGCACTTCTACATGTAACGGATATAATCGCTTTCCATGGTCATCCAAAATTATCCGACTCTTAAAATCTTCTTGGCCAAAGTGAAACCATTCATGTGAAGTCCGCATGTTCCTGCGTGTATTTCTTCCAGTAGTCTTGTTGCTTCTGCAGCATCTACACACCTTAACAGACCCAATTCCGGTGTCCTCCCGTACAAGACTTCCCCGTTAAGAAAAAGTGGTTGGCTAGCCTTCTGAATGCTTGTTTCTGATCATTGGTGGCATTCTTTGGGTATTTTTCTTGCTTCGAGGAACCTCTTGATGTCATAGTACCATGGCTTACCATCTGGCTCTTCGTCTACAGGGAAACAGTATGCATGTTGATCCCAAACATCTATCTCGATGGGGTCATTGTAATTCTTATCTGGATGCTGGATCATCGATGATAAGGAAGAGCATCGATGAACTCATTGTGAATTCTGGGAACATGTTTGAACTAATCCTGGTGAATTTCTTGCACAACTCTTTCACACAGTGTAGGTTTGGAAAGATCCTGATATTCTTGGTTCTCCATTCGCCTTGAACTTGATGTATCAATAGATTAGAGTCTCCTATGACCAAACGTTCCTTGATATTCATATCGACTGCCATCCTAATCGCGAGGATGCACGCTGTATACTATATCTTATTATTGGTACAAGGGAACATTATCTTAGCTAAAGCCGGGTAATGCTCCCTAACCCAGAAATCAGGACTGTCCCAATCCCTACACCTTTAAAGTTTGTTTCTCCATCGAAAAACATTCTCCACCCTGGGTATGACTCTGCAATATCCTCCCCTAAGAACAACACTTCTTCATCTAGGAAGTATGTAGTGAGAGGCTCATAATCCTTCTGCACTGGGTTCTACGCGAGATGGTCGGCTAATGCATGTCCCTTGATAGATTTCTGGGTTATGTACACGATATCGAACTCACTAAGAAGAATCTGCCATATGGCCAACGTTCCTGTAGGCATCGGCTTTTGGAAGATGTACTTGAGCGGAACGAGTGGTGATATAAGATATGTGGTGTATGCTAACATATAGTGCCTTAACTTCTTAGCGATCCAAGTCAAAGCGCAATAGGTCCGCGCTAACAAAGTGTATCTTGCTTCAAACGGTGTAAAATTCTTGCTTAAGTATTGATAGATTGCTCCTTCCTACCAGTCTCATCGTGTTGTCCTAACACACATCCAAATGAATTATCCAGAACAGACAGGTAGAGCAACAACGGTTTCCCCGGTTCGGGAGGATCTAACACTGGTGGATTTGACAAATATTGTCGAACGCTTTGTGACATTCTTTCATTCATTTTGTAGCGGAATCCTTCTTTTACAACTTGAAGATAGGCTCATAGATTACCAACGACTGGGCTATGAACCTGCTGATGTAGTTTAATCTGCCGAGCAAGCTCATCGTGTCCTTCTTGCTCATAGGCAGAGGCAAGTGTTGAATGGCTTCGATTTTGAAGGATCCAACTCTATCTTTTTCCTGCTGACGATAAAACCTAGCAGGTTTTTGGTGGGGACTCCGAATGCACATTTCACAGGATTCAACTTCAAACTGTACCTCCGTAATCGTTCTAAGAATTTCTTCAAGTCATTCAAATGCTCCGCATTTTTCCGAGATTTGATGATGACATCATCCACATATCATCGATTTCCTTGTGGATCATGTCGTGAAAGAGGGTCATAATGGCCCTCATGTATGTAGCATAAGCGTTCTCGAGGCTGAACGACATGAATCTATAGCGATAAAGTCCCCATGGCATAGTGAACGTTGTCTTCTCCGCATCTTCTTCGTGTATCAGGATCTGGTGGTACCTGGCGAAACAATCAAGGAATGACTGCAACTCATGCTTTGCACAATTGTTGATGAGGATATGAATTTTCAGTATGTCGCTCCCCTTTTTCTCGTGAAATCGGGTTTTGACATTTTGACAACTCCTTTTGAGAGAGTGGGGAAAGGAATTGGTTATTCGAGTCGCCACCTAACGGATTAAGGTGCGTTAGGGCACCTATAGCAAATAACTAAGATTATACCATTTTGCATCACCAGAGATCGGGTAAGGGCTCAAATTATCTTGAGGGGAAGGTGTTAGGCACCCCTCGAGGTCCACAATGGTGGGTCTCGGCCGAACTTAAATTATGCGAATTATTCTATGTGATCAAAGCTAAGAAACAAGGAATTACTAATACAAGAATAATCGATCGAAAGACAAGGAAAGGGGGGGGGGGGGTCCTAAATTTTTTAGCCTAAAGGATCAACCCGTACAACATAAATAATATTTAGTAACCCCCTCGGGACGGGGTGTTACTGATATTATTTAGCAGGCACAGACTATCATCTCCTGCTACCCAATTACTATCTTTAAGTTGTTTACCTGAAGCGTACTAATCATTTCTAAGTCGTGCCCTATGCGTGCATTACTCGTCCCATGTCTATGTCCAGGAGGTTTTGGACCTACTATTTGGGTGGTTCTAGACTAGGCCTAAGGTTCTCAAAATTGTAAAATACTAGGCGACAAGCAAAACAATTAGGACTTTTCAAATAAAAGCAGATATGGGCTCAGCAATAACCTCCGCATGTAAACAGCAAATGCACGCAACTGATTTAGCAGGCTTTATTAATCTCGGAGTCCTATGGGCAGGATATATATGTGATAAAGCGAGCAACAATATGTAGATTCAGTTCTTAATGCGAGTATTAGGGCCTACATGTATTTTTCTACTGATTTTAATTCAGTAAAATATCTGGGCGCTTCAAGCGTTAATGAATGACAGTAAATCACAATCATAAGTCAAAAATTATTGTTAAACCCTATAGGTATGTTGTCTAAGTGATTGACAGTGACTGTCAGATTCCGAACCAGTTAATAGAATCACATAGACATGACTTCTACGAGTGTAATGATTATTACCCTATAGGCATTATTTCTAGGTTTGAACTGGTTTTAATAGACATGATTTCTATTTTTTAACCTATAGGCATGATTTCTAGCACTGATCTAATTTTTTACCCTATAGGCATGATTTCTAGAATTGAGCAGTATATGAGCAAGAATTTACATTAAGCCAGAAAAGAATTAAGCCAAATATTGATCCTATGGGCATGGTTGCTAACACAGAATTGCTGGACAAATTGATACACCTAAGGGCAGGATTTCTAACAGATCATAGCGTTAGTCCTATAGGCTGGATTTCTAATATGTAAATGCAACACAGAACCTATAGGCAGGATTTCTAAAACATAACAACATAATGTGGAACTTTTAAGCAGAATTAACAGCACAAATAGAGACCCTATAGGCAGGATTTCTACCCGACTTTGCAAATGAAAATAAGAAACCCTTCCCAATTTACTAAATACCCCAGAATTGTTTGTTACAAAATTATTACAAACCAGATTAATGGATGGATTACACAATAATGAAATAAGCTATAGAGAGCCTACAACAGGCCCAAATACACCGGGGCAGTCCAGGCCTTCAAACCACAGCAGCTCCAAGGCTCATTTTCACAGGTACACAATAATCAGTGGTGAGTGTTCACCCATAGCACACAGAACCCAAATTTCAGTGTGTCAAAGTTCCCAAGGGCTTCAAGAACCCAGGGCAATGCTCACACTAAAGGACCAAATGCTCAGAAATAGTTCAAAGGAGGTTAGGAACCAAACCCCAATATGTCAGAGTTCACAAGAGTCTCACATGGATCCCGAGCAGTGCTCACTCTGTGGAGGTGAAGGATAGAACCTTAAAGATCTAAGAGTGGGAGTTTAGAAGTAGCAGCATATAAAAGGAGACAATTTTAAAACAGGTTTGATGATAGAGTTTAAAAAATACATAACATATAGGTAGAATTGCATTAAGAAGACAAATTGGCAAGACTTACAAGGTTGTTTATATACAGTATCTAAAAGGTTAAAATCTGAAAGACCTAATTAGGCTAAGTGTACATGCTAACATTTTAGGGCAGCTTTGTTCAATCATAGAAACCATTTGGACAATGTATTAAGGCAAGCGGTCATATAATCACATGAACCCAAATGGATGCAAAACACATTAGAAGGCAAGTTATCAGGGTACATGACAAAGTAAGGTTTAATAACAATCAAGTTTGACAAGGCTCAGGACTGATTAACTGATGAACATGCTAATATTATCCTAAAGATGCTAAGTTCAGGATAATTTCAGAACTAACAAAATAGCATACACGAAACAGGTTAAAAGACATTAGGCTAACCTCTATGAGGATTCATATTATTCAAACAAAAACAACCAATCTCAAAACTAACAGTATCAATTATAGGGCTAAAGGAAATCATAGGAACATAGAAGTGGTAGAATCATGCTCAAAATGGACTTTAAACATGTTGGATCATAAATACAGTTCATGGATACATAGGAATGAAATGACAAAAGATAGTCACTCACCAGTCGGGCAAGAAAAGCAAGAATAACACCACAATAGTCGAGAACCCAGAATTACTTGGCCTTGGCTTTCAGCCGGCCAAGACCAGAATCAAACGAGAGAGCAAAGAGAATACATAGCCAAAACCTAAGTTTTCAGTGAGAGTCTATTGATTTTTTTCCGTCCCCTAAAGGGGAAAGGGGAGGGGTTTATATAGTAGTATAGTATAAACATGAAACATGGTAAGTATCAAACACAGAATCAATTAGGATCTGATTTTTTTAGGGCAAATAATACATAACAAAGAGTTCAGTATATTAACAGAGAATAATGACATGTAATCATGCGAGTAACACTTAAAACAAGGGGATACAACAGAGAATAAGGAAAATATCACACAAGAATCGATTAACAGTCGGATTTAGGGCAAAATAAGGAAAAAAATAAAGGAAACACGGTAGATTAAACAGAAATAAGGAAAATATTAGTCAAATACGAGAAAGGAAAGAGTATCGATCAGAAGTCAGTAAAGAACAAGGAAAGGTCTCAAACCCTAGTTGAGACTGATGCTTTGAATCGGACAAAAGATGCAAGAATTGTTTAATAAAATATGTATATGGACGAAAAATCATCCAGATCTTCACAGAATAAGGGTGAATCTACCCGTTATTGAGGTAGTTC